GGATGGGCCGCGCACCGCGCACGGGGCTCCTTCGCAGCACGGCCGGGTCCACAGGTGGTGCCACGGCTGCCTGAGGCGATGGTGGTTTGGAGGGAAAGGTTTAGGGTGTTTCTGATTAAAAACAAAAACCTCCAGTGACACTGTGCACACCTCTCGTGAGAAAACACGGTCCCCCGTTGGCTCCGTGTGCACGTCTGTGCCGCGTAGTGAACACACCTGTGGGACCCTGCGCAGGTCCCGTGGCGGGACTCCTGGTGGTACAGCATCAGTCTGTCCTCCATCCATCCGTCCATCTGTCCACCCATCTTTTCTTACTAGAAGCTTACTTGACGGAGTTTTGAACGGGGGGGCATGTTTAAGTGGCATGAAAATCAAGATCCGGTTTGTTAGTACCTTGAGATGCTGGTAGATGTTGGTGGAACAAGTCCTCAGGGAAAGGGCTCCGTAGGCAGCGGTGGCCCCCACGCGGCCGTGACCTGGGCGCGTGTGTTAGAGCCCGAGCTGCAGGCGCAGGGGAGGAGGCGCGGTGTCTGGGACTCGGCGTGGCCGGAGCGGAGTCGGGACCCCGAGACCCGCTGCAGGTCGCTGCACCCACGTGTGGTGACGCCAAGTGCCTGTAACTCACCTCCGTGCAAATCGGTGACGCAAGGCTGACGACAGTCCTTCATAATACGGTTTCTCAAAATCTGAAGACGAAGCCAGATCGGAATTGGAACGTGCACTGTAAATCACATTTTTCTTATCTACAAAGATTAATGTAAGAATAAACTTTTTCTTCTGTTGTATCTGATTAAATGAAAATAAGTATGTTTGCGGTTTTTAATTTATTTATTGGTGTGCTTTTGGGAGAGAAGTATTTTTTCTGATAGAATTTACCAAAGCAACTTTGTGTTGTTCACGGCTTAACGAGGGAATGTGGTTTTGACTTTGGGGTTCTTGTTTGCATTCTGTGAACACACGACTTCACTGTGTAAAGAGCGAGCGGTCTCTGCTCCTTCTGTTGCTTACTTTGTAAAAGGAAAGTGATGGGCTTCGAAGAAGGCAGAATTCATTCTCAACGCTGAGGTTTTAAAAAAATAAAAGTATCGTTCATTTCCTCTTTCGTTATTAGTCTGCATGGTTATTGGCATCGACTTCGAGGTGACTCCTTACGGTGACTTCAGTCACAAAGCTGATGGCACTTTTCTTGATACCTGAAATCTCATTTAAAAGTGCAAACAGTACACGTAGACTATTTCATAAATAAATGACCAATTCCAACCAAAGTTTTTGGGATGTATCTTTTGCATACTTGAGCCGCCTGCTTCCACCGTCCTGCCGGTGAGGAACCAGGGGGGCGCGCCTGTGCTCTGGGCGGAGTTTAGGGTCAGGAATTAGAGCCGCTCCCAGCTGAGAAGCCGCGAGCATCCCAGCAACAGTACTTTTACTTAATCACCCTTGTCTTCTGAAAAGATCGCCGTCTCTTAAAAGAAAGTCTGTGAGGAAGAGTGGCCTGTTCCAGAGGAGACAGGTACGTACCTCAAAAACTGGGCACGCACGCGGCCAGCCGAGCTCTGCCCTCGGGCGCAGGTCCTTCAGGGAGCAGGCGTGGGGGGCACGGTGCCCGTCTTGTCCTCGGGGTCCTGCCTCTGGAGATTTCCTTTCTTGTCTCAAGGGAGAGCTAGTCCACGTCCTGTCAGCGAGGGGGCCAGGGGTCCCCGCCTGGGGAGTAGGGTTCCCCTGTGTCCAGGGAGCCGCCTCCGCCTGCCCCTCCCAGGTTACTTCTAGCCACTTTCCGACCTTCTGGTTCCATGCTTATTCTTCAGTGGGTATTTCTCGGCCTGAACAGGAGACCAGCAGGGCTCTCTATTCAGGAAGCTTTGCAGATTAATTGGCGAAGACAGTTTTTTTAACTTTGTGATCCTTTTAAACAAATGTTCAGAATCACCCACTGGGTGAGGAGCTGAACGCCAGGGTGAGCTGGGGGGGGGAGCCGAGGAGGCGTCTGCCTGACCTTTCCTGAGGGATCCGGTGCGTTCCCAGGGGTGGGGAGCCGTCTGTCCCCACGTTCTGGTCCCCTGTGGCTATGCCGGCAGCCGGCAATCCCACCAGCTGGCCCTGGGCAGGTCCTCGCCCCCAGACCCCCCAGGCCCCACCTGCCAGTCCAGACGCTGGCTCACCGGCCCCGGGCTGTCCCACAGGATCCGTTCCCGGGCCCGGCCTGGGCCTTCCTGCAGCCCTGCTGGAGTAGCCCAAGTACAAGGGGTTCACGGGCGTGCCCCCGACCCTGCGCCCTGCGGCCACTGTGCTGCCACCTTCACAGAAACCAGGGCCGAGGGTGGTTTCTGTGCTGGTCAGACGCCCCGGGGTCGTGGGATCTGTGCTGTGGGGGGTTGGGCGGTCCCCTGCGCCCACAGAACGTGTTTCCCAGACCCCCAGCTGAGACCGCGGACACCTGAAGCCACAGGGCACCGGGAGCTGGTAACTGATGAGCCGGGCACGGTGGTGGAGTCGTGTGGACGCTGTCCCTCTCAGACACCCCGCGTCCCCACAGAATGCCTGTGACAGACGGAGGGAGGGCAGCGGTCGGGCCTCAGGCCACCAGCGGCCTCTGGTGCCGTGGCAGGAGGGGCCCGATGGCATCGGTGGCTGGAGGCGCCGCCGCAGAGGCCGTGAGCCCGGCGACCACAGGGACTTCAGCGAGGGTCCATGCAGTCAGAGACCCTCCGGCGGGTTTCAGGAGCGCCCACACTGCATGCTGGCCCTCGCAGTCCCTCGGTGCGTCCCCCACTTGGCCGCCCGGCTCCCTCTCCACGTCGGTCTGCTCGTCGGCCTTGAGAACCACTGGCGCTTCACTCCCCGCGTCCCCGGCGGCGGCGGCAAGGACCTCTGGCGCGCGTCGGGTCCAGAGCAGGGTCTGCGCTGTGCGCCCTCGGAACGTGTCACGGGATCACAGAGCCCACGGGGCCGCGACAAGCCTGAGGCCCTGGCGGGGGGCCGCAGCGACAAGGCTGCCCCTGAGGTCAGTATGCGGGCCGGCAGGTGCCGCTTCCGCCCACAGGCCTGTGAACCCAAACCCTTCCTGTTCCGAGCGCTTCCACGCTGTCGAGATGAAGCGCTGCTGGTGCCCCTCCACCGACGAGCGGTGGCCCTGTGGCTCCTGGCCGCCCTCCCTGGGGGCCTCCTCGCGGTTGAGGGCTGGCTCCGGTCCGCGGCTCTGCTGGGACATGGCAGATGCGGCGTCCCCAGGGGCCCGTGACGAGTGCAGCGCGGCAGCAGGACGGGCGCCCCGCCTCGCGGTGGACGGCGCCCGTGGTCCCTCGTGGCTCTCCCCCTGCTCACCTTCTGTGACGGGCAGCGCGGCAGTGACTTCCACCGCAAACACCGGGGCGCTGCAGCCCCGAGTGCTGTCCCCGGCACCACCGGCCGGATTACTGGTCCTCCCCCGACGCCCACATGCAGAGTTCTCCAACTGGCCGGAAAATGTCTTTTTAGCTCCTTTTAACTTTTTCCTCAGAAGCAGGACACGGGGTGTGAGCTGTTAAATGCAGTAAGTTGGGGGTTGGGTGTCCTCACAGCAGGGAAGGCCAGGCTGAAGGCCCCGGGTCCTGCCGGTGCCCTGGGGACCGGGCTCCGGGCGGCACCACCGTCAGGACGCGCCACGTTTCTTTGCGGCCCGTGGCCTCCTGCAGGGATCGCACAGCCCCCGTGGCTCCCCGGGCTCTGCCAGCCTGCCTCCCGGAACGGTTTGTCAGAGAACCTCCCGTTCGGATCTCGCCGCGAGGCCCTCACAACCTCTGCCTCTCGGTCCGCAGTCTCTCCCGTGTCCAGCAGCAGCTGTGCTGGGCAGCAAGCCTGTCACCTTGGGTGGAAACATTTACATAATTAACACAGTCTTCCAGAATTGCAGGTGAGATGCGGTCATTTGGGTAGAATTTCAGCTTTCCAAATAAATGATTATTATTGATCTCTTTGGGATTACGTCTATTGAATGTCATTTCCTTAGTAAGTCAAAATTAGTGTTGGGGTTTTAGGAAAATATTTATAGGATTTTAAATAGTACAAAGTTTAGATAATTTAACTGTAATTTCAAGAAAGCTGAACGAGTCTGGAAGCAGAGGGGACGATGGGAAATACCAATCACTCATTGGAGTTTTGAGAAGTGAGGTGTGTTTTTCCCTTGGAGACTAGAATTTCCAAAGTCTCCCCCGTGGAGACTTCAGAACTGGTGCAGGAGGTGAGTCGGAGACGCCAAGAATTTCTGTTCTGTAGGAAGTCTTCCAAGCCCCACACGTGGAAGCAGCACATGAGCAAGCTCAACCAGTGAGGAGAACCCGTCCGTCAGGAACACACAACTCCAGGGCATCATATTCTCATACTTCTCTCCCTTTATGTTTGGGAGCCTAGGTGTCTTCAAAAGTAATGTAAAATATTGGAAAAATCTATCTAAATATGAATAATTACTTCAAGTAGAATTACGGGTAGCATTTAAAATTTTCTGTGTGTTGGGTTTTTTAAAAAGCTTTTTACAGTGAACATCTATTACTTTTGTAATAAAAAAAAGTAACAGCTATTTTAAAAAATAAAATGGAAAGTGTCAAGCATATATAAAAGGAAAGTAAATACAAGTAATGGGTTGGCAAAACTACAGCCTGTTGGCCAAATTTGGGCCACCACCTGTTTTTTCCTGGTCCAGGAGAATTCTTTTTACATTTTTACATGGTGAAAAAACTTAAAAGAATCCTCTATCATGACACATGGAAAGTACAGGAAATGCACATTTCTGTGTCAGTGAAGTCTGACTGGACGCAGCACACTCCCTCATGCACAGGCTGCCTGCATGACGGTGTTGCCGCTGAGTGAGTGCAGAAGGGGGCACGTGGCCCACAAGCCCAGTATGTTTGCAGAACAAGTTTGCTGAGCCCTGGTGTAAACTCCTGTGTGGGCCATCCTCCTAGCCTCAGTGATGGTCCGATTTTGTTTTATCTAGGTACTCCTGACTGCAAGCAATGATGTTAAAGTCAATCCCAGACATCCTTTAATTTCATCATCTTCATGTTTAAATAAAAAACAGCTGAGAACTCATCAAGAAGATAAAATAATTATAAACATACCTGCAGCAAACAGTGACAGAATTGAAGGAGGAAAGAGGCAGCTCCAGGATACCAGTAGAGACCTCAATCCTCCACTTTCAATAAGGGATAAAATCCACCAAATGATAATTTACTACACACATTAATAGAATGAAAGGGAAAACATGATCATTTCCATTGATGCAGAAAAAGGATGTGATTTAAAAAAACACTCAACTAACTCCGAATAGAAGGAATCTGCCCTGACTTACTAAGGAGCATATAAAAAGCCCACAGCTAACCTTCTACTTGGTGAAAAAAGACTGAAATTTTCCTCTAAGGTCAGGAACAAGACAAGGATGTCCACTCTCACCACTCCTATTACATACACATCCTACTAGAAGTCCTCACCACAGCAATTAGGCAAGAAAAAGAAAAGGCATCCTAACTGTAAGAAGTAAAACTATCTGTTTATAAATGATAGGATCTTATTTGTAGAAAACCCTAAAGATTGTACCAAAAAAATCCCAAGAAAACCAAAACCACCACCAAAAAGTGGAATAGACAAGCTCAGGAAAGTTGCAGGATACAAAAATCAATATAAAAACAACAGTTGCGTTTCTATACGTGAACAATGGAAAACTACAAAGGGAAATTAAGAAAATCCCATTTATAACAGCAACAAAGAATAAAACAGGAGTAAACTCAGCCACAGAGGCTAAAGTATTGTGCACTGAAAACTATAACGTGGCTTAAAGCAATCAGAGCAGGCACAGATAAACGGAAAGACCTACTGTGCTTGTGGGCTGTATGACTTACTAAGATGACACCACCACCCAAGGTGATCTATAGATTAACTGGACTCATCAAAATCTAGCAGTTTTTGCAGGAATAGAAAAAATCCTAAAATTTACATGGCCTCTCAAGGGATCCCAAATAGCCAAAACAATCCTGAAAAAGAATAAAGTTGCAGGATTCGCATATCCTGATTTAAGAACTCACTATGGAGCTACAGGAATGAAAACAGTTTGGTCCTAGAATGAGAACACACAGACAGACACACAGACCAATGGGACAGGACAGAGAGCTCAGAAACAAACTGCCACATACACAATCATGATTTTCAACACAGGTGCCAACACCATTCAGTGGGGGAAAGGGCAGTGTTTCCAACAAACGGTGCTGGGAAAACTGGATGTCCACATGTGAAAGGATGAAGTTGGGCCTTACCTGACACCATACACAAGTGTTAGCTCAGTGGACCAAAGGCCTAAACATAAAAGCTAAATAAAACTATAAAGTTCTGGGCAAAAACAGCAAGTTTCATGACCTTGGATTTGTCAACCATCTCTTAGGAGACGAAAAGGTCAGCTAACACAGAAAAAAGGGAAATGAGCTCCATCAAATTAACACTTGCATGCCTCAAGGACACAACAGTGAAAAGGCACCTTCACAATGGGGGAAAATACCTTCCACTCACATACCTGTAAGGTGTTGGTATCTAGAATATACAGAGAACTCATGCAACTCAACAACAAAACACACAACTTGACTAAAAAATGGGCGCAGGACTTGAATAGACATCTCTCCAAATACGACACACAGATGGCCAACAGCCACACGAGAAGGTGCTCCGGACCACTGATCACCAAGGAGATGCAAATCCAAACAAACCAGCAGGAGACACCACCTCACACCCGTTAGGATGGTCACTGTACAGCAACCACCCCAGAAAGCAGGTGTTGGCAAGAACGTGGAGAAACTGGGGCACCTGAGCACTGCTGGTGGGATGGAGAAGGGTGCAGCGTCTGTGGACTGAGCTCAGCAGGCCACGGGGCACAAAACACAGCAGCATTTTACAGATTCTAAGGACCGCATTTACGGCACACATTGTGTGCAGTCAGATCATAAATGTCCTAAAGCAGACCCGGCTCCCGGTACAGAAACCTGAACGGCCAACAGTGCTGCGTCGTGAGGTGTTCAGAGGCCACCTCAGTCCTCTGTGTCCACAGACCGGGTGAGAAACGTCTTTTCGTGCCTTGAAAGGGGTGAGGGGAGGCAGCGTCTGGATGGGCTTCCTGGCTGGTCGCGCCTACTGGGGCCCCCCAGGTGCTCGTCCCATCTCCGGCGTAAGCGGACGCCTCGGCCTGGCCCTGTCGGGGACTGGAGGCACATGAGACATGCTGCGGGGTCTCCAGCTCACGGTGTCCTCGGCTCTCCGTGTCCCGACCGACCTCTGGCAGGCCCCCCGATAGACGTAAGTACCGTCCGGTGTGTGAACTCATGACAGTTCTGCGTCTCGCCCCTCCCTGTAGGGGACTGATGGCTGTCTTGGTGCCTGCGGCCTCTACTCATTCCCGTCTCTTCCCTGACGCCACCGAGAAGGCTGCCACCGTCCCCGGCCTGCCCGGGCCTCCCTGCCCCTGCAGGAGGTGCTGGCAGAGCGGAACGGCTGGGCTCCCCTCTGTGCTACCAACACGTGTTTGGGGGAAAAGAGCACAAACTTCAGTGTCCTTCTAAGAAGAAACAATACCAAAAAAGATCAACACTGAAAACAGGCAAAGGACACACGTCAGGTAACTTACCGAAAACAAAAACACACAGTCGATAACAACAAGAAATGTGGACCCACCTTGTCCTTCAGGCAGGAAAACGGCGCCGGGGGAAGGGCTCTGCAGCAGCCATCGCTCAGGACGACCCTAACAGCTCACACGGGCGGCCTGGGCACCCTCAGACCCGTGGTGCCATCACTGGGCTCCGCTCCTCATTTGCCTCAGGGGCATGATGGCCGCACACAAGCTGGGGGACAGCAGGAACCAGCAGCACCCTGCCGGCCAGCAAGACCCACGTTTTCAAACGTGCTTCTGAAAACACGGCTGGTTGTCAAACGGAAAGGGGAAACAGACGCCCCGGGCTCCACGCCGCGTCCAGAGGGCAGCACGTCGTTGGCCCTCAGCACCAGGTCAGCTCAGACAGCGACACTGAAAAGCCAGAATCTTTATTTACAAACACGCAAAACCGAAGCCATCTTAATATGCTTAGAAGAAGAAAACATTAGAGGAGGACGGAGCAGTGACTTTCGGGGGTTCACACCGCTCTCCCACAGCGCGGGGGTGGGAACCGCTCTTTGTAGCAGGAACACTGGTCTCGGGGGGCAGGGTGACAGGGGACTTGTATATTTCATAACACCTTTATTTTCAAAATCATCTAAAATGGACATGCCTTATTTTAAAAATAAAACAACCTTTTAAAGGATTAAATCAACGATATCAAAACCACAGACACCACTTTTTCAGGAAGATGCAAAATCAGTGACGTCAGACGAGTCGATAAAGACGATTTATTACTTTGTCTAGGAAAGCACTTCCAGGACAGTGAAGGGGAGGCTGCGCTGGGCGGGCCCACCACCCACACCGTGGCTGTCCACAGACTGACCACGGACACAACGGTACCCTCAGCGCACTTCGCATTCGACGAGGACTCTCTTGGACACAACCGATGCAGTTAAGATACATATTAAGAAAAATAAATATTCTGCGCCCGTATTTACAAGGATCAACTGTTCTGTCCCCTGCCCCTAATTACTACAAAATCAGGAAGCTATGGTTTGACAGTTAAGCACAGCATTGGCTGTTAGTGTCAGTCTGGCACAGACGTGGTGCTAAAAATCCACAATCTTACTGAACCATATTTATAAACACGCAAAGGTGCAAACCTTAATGGGCTGAGATGAAGAGGACTTTTAGAGAAAGCAGAAATGATTTTGCTTGGGTTCCCCGACCCCTTTCACAACAAACCAAGGCCCCTGCCACGTCCAGGCGGGGAGGGGGGAGTGTGTTGTCCGTGTTCAGGTCGCTCCCCGGCGACGGCGCAGCGCGGTGAACCCCTCCCACCGGGAGGGCGGGCTGTGGGCGGGCGCCCTCAGAACTTGAACAGGTCGATGAAGTGCTGTGGAGACACAGGCATGAAGCAACTGTCGGGGTCGGTGGCGGTGCAGGGATGCCCCGAGTCCTGCGGGAGCAGAGGAGAGGCGTCACCACAGAGTGCCCGGCCCCACCACAGCGCCGTGTGGAGCACGCGGACCCGCGCTCCGAAGACGGACAGCCACGGGGACCTGTCGGCAGAGACAGGTGGCCCAAGCCAGAGGGCCCAGGACCAGGCTTCCCGGCCTCCCTGGCCTGGCCCCACACCTCCATTCCTGCGCTGTCCCTCTGCTCCCCTCCTGGCGCCCCCTGGGAGCTCACACTCGCTGGAGACGGGGATCCTGTCCAACAGGAAGAATGGCTATGGGAACAGGTGCTCTGCCCCTGAGACCAACAAGCTTAAAAGGAGGAGGAGCCTAAAGAGCACAGGCCGAGTTGGCCGCGAGGCACCTGCCGTGGGGCCCCGGTGCCTGAACGAAACCTCACGGACACGACTACAGTTTCCCCCTCAGGACAACATCCCCCCAAGGACATCCCGAGAATGGCTCGAAGGGGCGGTTCTGGCCGGCTGGGAGCATGCATGGACGCGACACGAGGCCTGGTCTAGCACAGAGGTACCTTGAACAACAAAGCAAGGCGGCAGTCCTTTGAGATCGTGGAGAAAGAACCAGGAGGAGTGCAGGGAAGGGAGGGAGAGAAAGGAAAACCAACGTTAGAGAGCAGGCTGCATGGGCATTAGCTTGGACGGCAATGATCTGCAAACGCAGGTGAAACCGTCCGGTAACTCAGGGGGGCAGCGAAGACGTTTGTAAAGCCAGCGCGTCGAGCGTGAGGACCCGACCATCCTGACACCAGGACCGGCACTGCCCTGCCTCGGGAGCCTCGGCTGAACACTGGCCAGGCTGCAGCCCGAACCGCTCACGACTCCCCAGAGCACACGCAAAGCGAGGCTGGAGTCTCCAGTTTGTACCGAAAACCTCTAACACATTCTGGAAGGTCATTCGTTCTCCCTCACATCCCCGCATCTGCTTTGCCAAGTGCCCACTGTCCACCGTAGACACTTTCACTCCAGCCTGTGCTTTGTCTGTGCCCCATCCACGCAGCCCGCTGCCTTCCCACACGCTCCCCAGCCCCCCGCCCACCCCCCGCGTGCCGGCCGGCCGTGCGTCCGGTAGGCATAGCGTGCGAGCAGGCCGGGAGCCTGCTGCTCATCGCAGAGCCGCCTGTGACCTCTCCTGGGCCCGCCCGGGGCCCCGGGCCCGCTGCAGACGCTGGTTCTGCATGTACTTTGGTGGCAGATGCTCCATGACAAAGGTCCTGGCCTTACCTGGCTCCCCAGCCTGCCCACACCGGGCTTTCACTGGTGTTTCGCACAGAGATTCGGTTGCTGCCTGTGTAACCACTGAGGGAGGGTGCCTTCCCAGAGGCCTCCTGAGGCCCTGAGACCAGACCCCACTCAGGGACCTACTCCTCCAACGGCACCACGAGGGCACCGTTGTGGGTTTGCGTCGGCCCCACTGAGCCCCAGAGGCAGGGACGCAGGGAGTGGTGAGCCCGGTCCCAGCGGGTGAGACCCCCGCACTCCTCTGCTGTGTCCACGAGCCCCTGTTGCGTGTGGTGTGCACACAGGCCTCCCCTCGCGCCCCGGGGCTGGTGATATGGGCCCGCCCATGCCCGCCTGCGGCCCCGCTCCCCCCGACACACCTGCCACTCCCTCACCCATCAGACCCAGGCGAGAACACGCCTGCTCACGGACGCTCTGCGTACCGCCGTTCCACTGCGGGACTGGACCCCTACTGAAACAGACGGCAGGGACCCAGAAAGAAAACCCCACGTGACGCTGCCGACCTTCCACGTCCTAAGTAAACCTCCATTCAAGTAACGCGGGAAGCATCCTCCACACCGGGGCACTCACGGCTCGCCGCAGGCCATCTGAAAAGCACGAGTGACGCTACCGCCAATGTACTCGGAGAAGAGAAAAACCTCAAGGGGTCGTCTCCTTTCCAACAACGCAGAGTTTGCCATGTGAGCCGCCTGACAAGTTACAAATAAACGCACAGCAAAAAGCAGAGCAGGGACGGTGCTGACCAGGCAGGAGCCGACGGCCAACCCCCAAGAGCGCAGGGGGCCACACCCATGCAGGCGCACACACAGATCACGCTCGCCGTCGAGCAAGCAGGGACATTGCAGGACAACGTATTCGCGGTCAAGGAGGCCGTGGGAACACATCCCAGGATGAAGGAAAACGGACTGTGACATGAATTACCCTCCAACCGCGGATAGACCGAGCCCCCGTCTGCGTGGCGGGAAGTCACGGGGTGAAGGGCTGCCCGCACCCCAGGGTACTCGGATTCCAAGTGTGAGTCGGGAGACGCTGGTGCAGCTTTGTCAAATACAAAAACCACGTGTCGCTCTGAGAGGCCAGGACCTCCCTGCTGCAGGGGCTTGGTGTGGGGGGAGCCGCAAGGAGGTGCCCACACGGGGTCCCGGGGGCACAGGGCAGGAAGCCAAGCGTGGGGCAGCCGCTCAGGAGTGTTCTTACTTTATAACGGATGGGGACGCTCTGGCCCCTTTCTCTCAGGCTGGCAGGAACGCAGCACTGCCCAGGACCAAGTGCCAGGGGCCCCGGTGCCCTGGAGACCCACGTCCCCGAAGCAGAAACAGAGGCCTCACTGCCCGACGTTTCCGACTCAAACCGCAAGCTGTATGGTTTACTCCCGTGAGTCTACTCCCCCGCCCCGACACCCGGCGAGATCAATCTCACGTTCTGGCCGCCGAGCACGCGGGTTCTGGCGTCCCCACACCCTCACGCCCAGAACAGAGGCAGGCTCTGCGTGAGCCCACCGAAGGCCCGAGGCGGTTACCTTCCAGAAGAGGATGCTGCAGTGTCGGCAGAAGTGCAGGGTGTCCCCGTACTGCTCCCGGGGCGGGTAGTGCTTCTGGAGCGCGAAGTACATCAGCTTCCACTCCACGTGGCCCTTCTCCGACAGGATCAGATGTCTGCAGAACTAGCACACAGACGCCGCTGAGCACCTGCCCGTGGCTTCACAGCACACTGGGGCCCCGTGGCGTTTCAGGGCCGCGGAGCGCACAAGCTCCAACTCCCGGGGACTGAGTCGGTGAGGGATGACCACGTGCCCCACGGCGTGTGTCCAGCGGGACAGCACGTGGCAAGTGTGAGCACCCCGGTCTCGAAGGACGCCCACGACCTGTGCCGAGTAAGATCACATCACCCACGTGAGGTGTCTAAGGACTTGCACCTGGAGCACACGAGGAGCACTTGCATCTCTGTACGAAAGACCACCTGATCGAAAACGGGGCCAAGGACCCGGTGCAGAGGTGGCCGGGGCGCCACACTCCCGTCACCAAGGACACGGACAAAGTGCCACCGCACGCTCGCTAGCTCGGCCACGATGGGGGAAAAAAAAAACAGTAACGGGGGCGCCTGGGTGGCTCAGTCGTTGAGCGTCTGCCTTCAGCTCAGGTCATGATCTCAGGGTCCTGGGATCGAGCCCCACACTGGGCTCCCTTCTTGGCGGGAAGCCTGCTTCTCCCTCTCCCACCCCCCTGCTTGTGTTCCCTCTCTCGTTGTGTCTCTCTCTCTCAAATAAATAAATA